TTTGGTTGTGCCTTGTGATTCTCTGAGTGCTTCTGTGTGTGTATCTACACCGGTGGGAGACTCTGTGGTAGTAAATCATGTCTATCGTTCGTGTGTGGTTACTATTGGTAATCTTGAAACTAGTGTGGATCTTATACTTCTTGATATGGTAGATTTTGATGTCATCTTGGGTATGGATTAGCTGTCTCCTTAATCTAAGACTATTTTCTAAAGAATTTGTACCACTTGCCATTCATTTATAAAAATAATGACGGATAATTCGGTGCATAAAGTATTTTATGTTCACGCATGATTCGAAAAGTGGCCTCATCCCAGGGGTGTGATGTAGACAATCTACCCTAATACAAGTATTAAAAGCTCTTTGCACGACTCGAATCCGTGATCTATAGTCATACGAAAATAACTTTACTATTGTTGCTCCCTAGCTCCCTGTCACGACCCTAATTTTTCCTCCAAATGATGTCATGGTTGCACCTAATCTTTATGATTAGGTAAGCCTAATAATTATTAATAACTTGACAGAAATAATTAACAAACTACTAAAACAAGGTTAAATAACTAATATAAACTCCTGAAATAGAATCTCAACAATACTTTTCCAAAACCGGTGGAAGTGAGTCATAAGCTCTACAGAGTAAAAACTAGAATGTTTACTACATCACTGTCTGAAAGAAAATACAACATGAGGTAAGATAGGGATGGTGACTCCGAGGTATGCTGTCATAGAGCAGGTATACCTTAAAGTCTCCCAAGCAACTACTCAAATCAACTCTAGCATCCGGCATAGGCAGACGTATCTGAATCTGCACAAAAAAATATGCAGAAGCGTAGTATGAGTACACCACAACGGTACAAGTAAATATCAAGGCTAACCTCGGTAGAGTAGTGACGAGGTCAGGTCAAGACACTACTAGGATATATATAAATAAACAGTATAAAAACATAATAAAGATAAATGATAGAAAGTTGAGAAATAACTTATACGGAACAGTTAACAATATAAATTAATACCAGAATTGTAAGCACGCAATTAACATAAGAAATCAGTTAAAAAAGAACCACAATGATCATATACGGTCAATAACTAACAAACACAAGAAAGAACAAAATAACAAGAATTACAACAAGGTACCGCCTCCTGTGCAATAAGAATCACCATCGAGGTACTGCCACGTGTATATATATCAAGCATCATAACTGAGGTACCACCTCGTATTCACAATTCACAATTTCAATCAAAATTTTTTCTTATATTCCTTATACCGTCGCGAGAGCCTTGCATTTGAAATAGGTTTTGAAGACAATTTTTCTAAAATAGCTATACGCACTTTAGCCCACCTTATACCGCCGCGTGGCTTCATGTAGTTCCCCTACAAGCAACACGCACATAAGTCCCACATTATACCGTTGCATGCATATTAAGCCCAAGCCTTATATTGTCGCATGCGTGTCAATATCACATCACAATAATAACTCGCACCACAAGTATCCATATATCACAACTTGCCAACAATCAACAATATTAATATTTCCACGATAATAGCCCACGACTCTACCACAACGTGTACAAGAATATCAATGATAACAATGAATGTAAAATTCTCAACAAGGAAGATCTTTCCACGATAACAATTTTGCCTCAACGTGATAAAGACTTTCACAACTTCAACACCAATAACTCAACAATGAGAGATAATGTATAACCATGATATTAAATAAGAATAACTAACAAGGGAAGAGATAACATGTAACAATAACTTCAAATAGTGAAAATCAACAAGGAAAAAGAAAGCATGAATAATAACTTCAAGTAATGACAATCAATAATGGATAACACGAACAATAACTTCAAATAATGATAATCAACAATAAAAGAGATAACATGTAACAATAACAAGTTCAACTAAAGCATGAGAGCAATTTATCAATGAGAATATAGAATAAGTGTTAATGACATCATTTAAGGCAGGTAAGGACAGACTAACACAAGTAGGAATAGATTGACTATGTGAATTTAGAACATGATACCACAATTCAATTAAAGCATAAAAATAGTCTAAGTAGCCTAAACCGGTCAAATACCATATACAACCCGCGTACCCACTCGTTACCTTGCGTACACGGCTTTCACATAGCATAAATGAATCAATCAATATTAATCCTAACGGGTAGTTCCCTCAAACATAGTTAGGCAAGATACTTACTTCAACTAGGCCAATTCAACACTCGAAAATAGCTTTTTCCTTAAAATCTGCCTCCACACGGCTCAAATCTAACCAGAATCGACTTAATATCATCAAACCATGCAAGGAAAATCATTTGCAACATATAAAGCTAAGATCTGTACACTTTCCCCAAAAAGTCAATAAAAGTCAACCCGAGACTTGTCCGGGTCTAATGATAGATTCCGACTACCCATGACCACGAGTTCATATATGTGATTAGTTTCAAAATTCGAGTCCAAATCGACTCTCAAAAGTCAATTTCTTATTTTTCAAAAACTTGACAAAGTTTCACAAATTTTTCCTTCGATTCACATGATTTTTTATGTTCAAATATGAGATATGTTGATGGAATATGATTAGAAATATATTAGAATCACTTACCCAAGTTTTGTAGATGAAAATTCCCTCTCCAAATCGCCTCCTACCGAGTCTAGGGTTTAAAAAATGAGAGAATATTTTCGAAAATCCCGTCTCCCAGCTCTTTGTACCAACTGCAAATGTCGCATTTGCAATATAGGGTTCGTATTTGCGAACCGTGATAGCCTATGTCATCATTGCATTTGCGAGAAAAGGCTTCGCAATTGCGAAGTTGGGAACTTCGCAAAAGCGAACAAATGTTCGCAAATGCGAACTAAGGCAAAATCTGACAGATATCGCAACTGCAAAGAGGAAGTTGCATTGCGACATCTGAGCCCGCACTGCTACCTTCGTAATTACGATGCTCGTGCTTGCAATTGCGATACCCGAGCACCAGCAACACCAGCAGTTCAATTTCAGTCCAAGACCATTCGGAAACATATATGAAACTCATCTGAACCCCCGGGGCTGCAAAGCAAACATCCACACAAGTCTAGAAACATCATATGAACTTGCTCGCGCGATCAAAACACAAAAATAACATCTAAAACTATAAATTGAACACTAAAACACATGAATTTCAAATTAAAGTTCAAAATTTCTAGAATTACAACTAAACGTCCAAATCTTATCAAACCAACTCCAAATGACACCAAATTTTGGAGACAAGTTCTAAATATCATAACAGACCTATTCTAAGTCCCAAAAATCAAATTCCAATCTCGGTAGCTAAAAGTCAACCTACGGTCAAACGTTTCAACTTCAAATTGTCAAAATTCTCCAAATCAACATAAATCAACCTACAGACGTCCAAAATCAATTCCGGGCATAACACGAATCCGAAATCACAATACGGAGCTATCAGAGCCATCAAAACACAGTTCGGAGGTCGTTTTCACAAAAATCAAAGTTTGGTCAATATTTTCTAATTTAAACATCTAAGTCAAGAATCAAAGGATCCAAATCAACCCGAAAGCTTCTCGAAACGAAACTAACCGATCCCACAAGTCATAAAATCATGAACATACGCGTGTGAAGCATAAAAAGGGATAACATATCGCAATTACACAAAATGATCGATCGGGTCGTTACACTCCCCTTCAATAAAAATAATGACGATGAGGAAGAAATAGGAAGGAGCCCCACATTTGGATATTTAACATGAAAGATCGTGCAAATGGCTAATCTAAGACTAATTCTAACACATGAAAAGAATTGTATTTGGGACATTTTTTCAACCTCTAATGCCAAAAAGTCCAAAAGAGCCACCTGAATTCACCTTCAGTATGACTATAAAAATGTCGTTCTTTCTCTATGTTTACAAAGTAAATAGACAAATGAATAAAACAATGTAAGCCCCTTCTTTCAACAATTCATCCACACACTGTCCATAAAGCTTCTTGTCAAACTAATTCAATGGACTTGTAGACAAATAAGGTACCCTTTCAGCTAGGGAAGGGAATAAATAAATAAATAATAATATAAGAAAAAATCATATAGTACATTGCAAGATTTAATTTGTTTTTTCTTCATTCCCCTTAATTGACTATTTCTTGTTTTTGCACCAAGTCATTAATTATGAGTATTTGGTGCCTTGTTTTGTGAACGTTAAGGAAGATATAACTTGTAAGTTAGTTTATTCTTTACCAACTTTGTCCTGTTAACCACCAACTTATAACATAGTAGTTGTTTTAGTATACCTTGATATTTCTTCCATTGATACTCTATGCTACTTAGAGTGTCACAAAACTTTAATATCTGCATGAAAAATTGGTCAAATTAACAATTGAAAAACAGAAAAAGCAAAACAATTTAAGATAGAGAAGTAGGTTAAAACCCTATCGACACCAAACAGATAATAATATGACATGTGCCTTTTCCCTATTCTTTTATTACCTAATTATGATTAATTAATGTGTATTTTTACCTAACTTATTTCTTAGTCGCAATATATCGATTTGGTATAAACACCGAATTTCATTAATTTTTACAGAAAATAGAGCTCTTGTACACGTCTCTTGGCCACTAATATCTTATACTCCTTTATAATGAAAAAGAAAATTCCTATAATTAGTTAGTCTTTTTCCCAAATATTCTTTAGTAGGAATATATTTCTTAAAAGAAAAAAGAAAACAAGACAAAATTAAGAATGAATAGTTCTAAAAAGAGTTCACGTTGTGGAACCTCAGATATCCAATCCAATCCAACGATGAGAAGAAGGCCCACTGATATCAGGAATCTCTGGGCCTTGGGATTCGAGACGTTGAAATCATGTCAAATAAATGGGCCCCAACAACTATAGGACCCACACGGCCACTCCTCCTACTTGACGCGACCATTTATCTCTTGGCCCACTTCCACTTTTCACCGTTCGATTGAAAACGAAACGCCCCCCCCTCTCTCTCTCATTATAATCAGTAATGTAGTGCAGTTTTTCGCGGGGATTCTCTCTCTCTCTGTCTCTGTCTCTGTCTATACGTATACTTATCAGCTTTTGGAGTATTACTCTCAGTTCTCTTTTTTACTCCTCCGGTTTTCAAGAAAACGTTACATGCTCTATTCCAAGAAGATTTTCTTTTGGCTTTTGGAACTCTCAGCTATACCTTTCTTTGCGTTTAATGTAAGTACATTCATTTCTGCAAGTTCCCCTTTCTTTTCTTTTTTTCCTTTTTTACCACTCTAAATCTTGAAATGGGGTTTCAATGATTATTGTGTTCTGGTCTGCAATTTTTGTTGAAATTTATTTTCTTTCTTTTTTTACTACTCTAAATCTGATTTACTTGTTTTACCACTGAAAATCTTGAAATGGGGTTTCAATGAGTATTGTGTTATGGGTCTGCATTTATCTTGAAATTATTTTTCTTTCTATTTTACCACTCTAAATCTTGATATGAGATTTTATTAATTTTGTGTTATGGGTCTGCATTTTCTTGATATTTTTTCAATGGAATGAGATAGAATAGCCCTTTTTTGTAATAAATCTTTGCACAGTAATGTTATGAGTAATGTGAGTGAAGGTCTTAGGTGTTCTTTTTAGCTATTTTGACTATGTTTAATTCTTGGAATGAGCTCCATTTAGCTGGATCTGTGAGTCTGGTTTTAATTTCATTCAACCATATTAATACTTCTGATTATCGGCTCTCAAAGAAATAGATTCATAACACTTTGGGTCCAGTTGGGTAAGAGGTGTCCAATCTGTTCATCATTAAGGTGTTTGTAATATGTGGCTTTGTGTACAGAATCTTGTGATTGAAGAGTCAGAAAAAGATGATATTTTGATGCTTTTTGTCCAATTAGGATTTGATTTTCACTTTTGTCAGGTTATCTACAGGCATGCCTTTTCATGTGAAGAAAATATGTCTTATTGGGTTTCCAATCAAATGCTTTTTGCTGGTTTTAGTCTAATAAGTTTGGATATGAATGGAACTATGGAAGTCTTTATAGCAACACAAGTTTATGGAAAGCCCATATTTCTGGTTTTCAATTCTGATTCTTTTCACTAAATTATATACAGATCTGTCCTGGAAACTACAGCTGTGTAACTGCTTTTGTAACAAATCTTTTGTGTCACTTCTTAGAAGGCTGAAGGGGAGCCTTGGAGCAAAGGTAAAGTTGTCTCCATGTGACCTATAAGTCACGGGTTCAAGCCGTGGAATCAGCCGCTGATGCTTGCATCAGGGTAGGTTGCCTACATCACACTCCATTGGGGTGCAGCCCTTCTCTGGACCCTGCGTAAACGCACGGTGCTTCGTGCACAGGGTGCAGTAATATGAACTTTGCACTTGCTGAAATTCTCTCATTTCTGCCAATCCATTACTTGTCCAGTTTGCTTTAAGTTCAAATCCATGCTTTGTGAATATGAAATGGTTTAATCATATTACTGCCCCCTGTACTCTTTGCCAATCTGCTTACTGTGACTTGCTGGTATAGCTCACACAGTTGGCTAATTACCTATTCTAAATAAGCAAAAGCGTTGATTGCATACTACTATAAAAAGATATCGACCACTGATTTAAAGCATTTAGTATATTGGTCTTCTAAAATTTTAATTCTATATTCAGTTTAGAGTCATTACTCAGCATACTTGGCACAATGCGTTAACTCTTTACGAAGCTGCTGTTTTCTGTCAAACACCCAACTCCACTAGGAGTGTTGCTTTGTTAGGCCTGAATGATTACATACTAGTTCAAGAAGTAGGATAGATGTTTTTTTTAGGAGCTCTTGTTTTAATAGATATTTCGTGCAATTGTTTTCTATAGAAGTCCTTGTGGTTGGGCATATCCTTCAAATCCTTTCATAGTGATACATGAGCAGTGGATCCTGTAACATATCTCTGTTGTGATTTTTATTTTACAACATTGTTTCAGGAATATTACTTAGATAACAAGGCAGGAGTATGAGACTTTATGCCATGTGAAGTGAAATCAAATAATGAGCCGGTGAAGCCTATTTTGAGAATGGGGCACAGACTAGAAACTACACGTCATCATGAAAGCTCCAGTGCTGGAGCTGAAGAAGAGATCAAATCATCCCGAGCAAATCGAAGTTCAAAGTCCAGAGACAAGTATAAAGTCGAAAACACAGTCGATAAACCATACATTAACAGGCATCATGACTCAAGCAAGACGGTCAAGCAAAATGTTATACAGTTGACCTGTTCCGACAATTCGTTTGGGAGTAAGGAAAACAAAGATGACGAGCTTGTCAAGTACATGTCCAATTTGCCAGGTTATCTGCAGCATGCAGAAAAGGGAAAGAATATTCAAGGGAAGGCTTTGAATTTTGGAGTCCTTGATTGGGAGCGTCTGGAGAAATGGAAGTATAATGAACGTATGCCTGCAAAGTGTCATCGTAAAACGTTATCAGTTAGTTCTCCATTTGTTGCTGGAAGGCCTCCCACTGCATATGGCATGCCTTCTCAGAGAAAGCAAATGCCATCACCGGGTGGTTCGTCTTCTGAACAAAAGTTTGCAGAACCTGTCCAGCGATCCCAATCAGAGTTTATGCAGACCCAGGATTTGCAAACTTCTCGGTGCCCAACAAAGCATGGGAAGCAGAAACAATGTCTTAGGAAGGAGATACCATCTCACAGGCGCAATTCCGAGCTAAATATTGGTAAATACATGGGCAGTGAAGATTTATCCTCGGTACAGATTAAGAATGTCAACATTCCCAAAAGAGAGATCAAATTCGACAACGAAGTCAATCTTACTACCCAAAATTGCACTGCTGAACCCAAGAATATCGTTCTATTGGTTCCGAAACATCGTTCAGAAACAAGTATGGAGGACTCTCAATTCTCAGAATCCCGAAAATCTTTTGATGAGCAACCAGCTGAGGTGATGAGGACCAGATTTTCTGACTGTTCTTCTCTGGAGTCCTACTCTAGTGAACTGTGTGCTGTTCCGCATTCGTGTCCTCTGCCCGCTAGCTCTGCAACGAATACAGAGTCTCATGTGAAGCAACACCAATTGCCTAATGCTCGAGGCATAAAGTCAGATTTATGCTCATCCCCATGTCAAAATGAGAGGATAACTACACGCTCTTCATTTGATGCCAAATATCTGAATCACCATAAATGTGATGCAGAATTGGGAGTCCCAGCTGAGACTTCACAGAGAAAGGATTTGGACACTGCAGAGCAGCCAGTGGCAAAGGGAAGACATCCGTCCCCTAATAAGAGATTTAGCTTCAGTCTTAGTCGAATGAGCAGAAGTTTCAGTTTTAAGGAGACCTCGGCTGTTTCACCATCGAATAGTACAAATAGCATCCCGAAGTCTGGCCCCGTTGGAGCTTCTTCCAGTGTGAATACCAGTAATCTAGAGAAGCCAAATGCTGGTGTCAGAGGGAGATCTAGCCCTTTGAGAAGACTCCTAGACCCACTGCTGAGGCCTAAGGGGATGCATTCAGCTGAGACTTGTCCGCCTCCTAATGGAAACTCAAATGGCAATACTTTGCCCACTAACCACAGTAAGCACGTTCGTATGAAAAAGCATCAGCCCTCAACTCTTCAGGCTCTTCTGCAGCTTACACTTAAGGATGGAGTTCCATTTTTTAAACTTGTGGTTGACGATGATGGTGGTATTCTTGCTGCAGCTGTAAAGAAGTTACCAACATATGGGAAGGGTGGAAGTAGCTTGGTTTATGCTTTCTATGCAGTCCATGAAATTAAAAGGAAGAGTGGGGGTTGGATGAGCCAGGGACCAAAAGAGAAAAGTGCTGGCTTTGGTTATAAAGTGATCGGTCAGATGGAGATTTCTAGTTCCAAAGTTCTGAATTCAAGTATAAATGACCACAAAAACATATCTGTGCGAAGGGAATCTGTCTTGTATAGCATTGATTCTGGACGAGTGGACAAGCAAGTGCCTGATTCTTCTCAAAAAAGAGAGCTGGCCGCCATTGTCGTTATGAACTCAAGTCAAAACCAAATTGGTGCAGATACACCATTTGATCAATACAAACAAGGTATGCAGCATTTACCTGGAGAGACCTGTGAAGCAGGAGAAAGCAAGACATGTGGTGACGTTGTAGTCATTCTTCCTGGCGGTACACATAGCTTGCCAAATGATGGAGCTCCTTCCTCATTGCTTGAACGATGGAGATCTGGTGGAGTATGTGATTGCGGAGGGTGGGATGTCGGTTGCAAGCTAAAAGTACTTGAACAGGACAAGAACTGCAGGAACCAAGATTTTCTAAACCTTTTCATTCAGGTACTTGTTTGTGTTATTCATTAACTATCACTTCGTTTAATGCTTCTCTTGATGAGGCTTCAATAACATTTGGTCTTCACAGGGAGGGGATCAGAGGAGCAAGCCTATCTTCAGCATGGCACCACTCAAGAATGGACTGTACTCTGTTGAATTTGATTCATCGGTTCCTTTGTTAGAGGCATTCTCCATCTGTGTCTCGGCCCTGACTAGTCACAAACTAGCTGATATCTTCCAAATTGGATCTCTAGGACAGAAGGCGATGAAGACTTCAACCACTGTCCAAGCACAAGTCCCTCAAAGATATGTGTCATCTCCACCTCCGTCACCTGTTGGAAGGATCTAGGTATATGATGAAAAGGAAACTGATGAAGCAAGAATCACTTTAACCAGATTATTTTAGCTACTTGATCATAGCATGTTCTCAACTGCAACTCACTGAGAATCTGTGGTTCGAATAAGTCATCTTCTACCTCTCATTTTGTACGTCTTTGATCAGCTGTAAATTCTCTCTTATATTTAGGAAATAATGTCAATGCCGCAAGGTATAGTAGAATGAACTCGGTGGAAAAGGCTATAGAGAAAGTAGAACTCTTTAAATATACAGTGTCTGGATTCCGCTTCCTTTGTTTTTATCAAAGGTAATGTTGACAGTCTTACTGTTATTGAGGTTTCTGAAACTCGTTAAACTAGAGAGATTGCCTATATATTATGTTGATGTTGCTGTGCATCATTCCAACACATTTACTCTCCAGAGACCTATTTAAAGAATTATCTTGATGTTCTTTTCCCAGGATCTCAAGCTTTGTTGTTTCTGTATCAAAATCCTATAACTCGAAAACTAAATTTTTTTATGCTGATATTGATGGAAATTATAGAAGATTGGGATTCAAATCCCAGCCGTCAGCCGAGACAAAATCCAAAGTGGGAGAGTTACTAAAAAATACAAAAAAGAAATGTACACCTGAACAGAATAGAAGAGGGAAATTTTGTACAGAATGAAATCAGATGTTTGTTATAAATTCAGAAGGGGAAAAGATCTATCTCGTTGCTTGCCTCATAGCCAAGTCATGGTAAAAGCTTTCAAACATTCCTCTTTAATCTGATTATACTAGTAGTTTGTCTCGTTAATAATAGCCTAATAGGTTACAAAACTTATGACAATATACGATTTCAACTCCCTCAAACAGCTTTCTCGTTCACAATTTACAGGTCAATATACGAGGCATGGTGAAGACAGACGAACCATTGCCCATCAACCTTCTCAAACACATTAGTCGCGAACTGTTTTCCCCAGCTGCTGTCCTTTGTCTTCACCATTTCAATGCATGTAATGTACCCAATATCGCCTCTAACATGAACTTGGACATCCCTTATCTCTATATCAAGTGAGAAATCATATTCTGCCCACACAAACTCCCAGCTTCCCATTACAAGATCATAACCAGATATGCCACTCACGCCTGGGTGCACGATGCATGTATTCTCACCCCTCGACCATAGGCCTTGCATAGAAGCTAAATCCCCAGTCCTGAAAGCATTGTAAAATCGAGCATTTGTTGCTAGTAAAGCTGCTTTACTGTTCTCCTGGAGAAGCCGGAGGCTATCCCTGAGTTTTGCTGTTCTCCTCATTAATAGCAGTCTTTAAATCTCGAAACAATGTTTCTTCATTTTGCAAGATGCTTTCACCACTCAGAGTTCCTTCTGAATCCTCACTTGTGACTTGGCATCGTCCCAAAGATAATGAACGGGATGCTTGCCTAAAAGGTGCTGCTCTGGATAAATACACAATTAGACCATTTAGCTTAAGAGGAGAAATCTAATGTAATTCAAACAGAAGGCTAAAGAAGAACGAGAGAGAAATAGATGTTAATCTGACATGCTACATGCAGTACCTATTTGAAGACTTGTCCAAAACACTGACCGGTAAAAATGATGGACAAAAGTTTACACTTTGGAACTTGGAAATGACAAGAATCGAGAGATACAACTACAAGCTGTCACTAGGAGGAGTCAATATACAAATGCTTTCTGAAAGCATAGGTTATTTACATGAGGAAGATTTTACAACGATTTCTTCCCGTAAAACATATCAAATCCGCGAAAAGGCCAAGTTCTTTTTCTTAGATGCACCTTTTATCCAACTCTGGAAACCAAATCTCTCCTAATTAATTAATGTTCAGCTTCAACTTAAGTACAGGTCCAAATAGCAATGAACAAGGGATCAAATTCAAAAGCAACTGATCTCTCAAGGGAAGACCATACTGTTTCCAATTCCAAAACCACACAGCATTGTACATTAAACTGCTAGCTTACTAAAATATGAATCAAACCATCAACAGATCCATAACACCACATCCCAAAATGAAATGCAAATTAAACCATATGGTCCAGCCAAAATTGTAACATAATATAAGTTCATCAAAAGAATGAAGCTAATTACATATCACCACCAAATAATTCCAAACACACGAACTTTTAAAGCAGCACAGAAAAATCAACAAAAAGTACATTCGAGTAGCATTCTAGTAGTCCCAAGAAATAATAACATAAACTACACCTCAATCCCAAGCTAGTTGGAGTCTGATGGATTAATCTTCGATATGCATTCCTCTCTTCCAAGTCAGCAGGATAAAAATGATGGGATATACAAGATAAAGAACTTTATGCATTCATCAATTGTACGTCAATTTAACTACTTTTTCATCCTATGAGAGGCAAATCATATGTTTTCAGATATATTCAAATCAGTCAACTTACTGAAAATTCTAGTTTTCGCATCAAAAGCACTATCTCCAGGAAAATTATCAGACCCTATTTTAGATCTGCCATCTAAAATTGCACAACATTGCATCTGGAGAGGTGAAGCAAGGTAATGGTTGATCTTGACTCGGTTGATGCTGGACCAACCTAAAATAATGTGCTGTCTGAACTCAGTGCATCCCTACATTTGAAGTCAAAGAATAAAGGTGAAATGCATCTTGAAAGTCTGCAGGTAATGCAATAGGATAAAACAAATTAGAGCAGAACAGCAGTAATAAACAGATTGAAACCACATAAGTTACAAAGTTGGATACAACTGCAAGTAGGGGTATCAAAATAATTTTGAAAACTGACCGAACCGAACCGATAGTTAAATTCTTTTTAATGAAACTGTAAGTTTATAAACCTACCAAATAACTAGGGTAGATTTTCGATTTTATAAAAAATACCAAACCGAATAAATTTATAAGTAAAAATTATGGTTATATGTTTAGTTTTAAAATAGAAAGCATTAAAAAATTTGACCCTTGATCTTGGGGTGGATTATCAGTAATACCCAAATCTACCCTACCACTGTTGAAACAAAGTACTACACATTATTTGTGCTTATTACTAGAGTGTGTGACCTAACTTTACTGCTGCTGAAACAAAACAGCAATTGCACAAAGGTGCGCTTTCAGTCCTACTCTTCTTTTTCTTCCCCTTTTATGTTTTGTGATATTTGAGTCAATCAAATTTATATCTTTTCAAAGGATCAACAGAGATAGTAAAGTTTGTTCGACTGTTCAAATAATCTGGATTAAAATTCATCCCTGTAATGAAATACAATGGCAGATTCAAATTAGGAGATTTGGCTGGAAGTGTATTTAATTCTTTTTTTTTGTGTGTGTGGAGAAGGTAACATATTTTATATGTAAGATAAGTAACCCTTATCACAAAGATTGTGCTAACTGCTAAGAGATTACAAAAAGTTACAAAACCCTCCAATAAGAGCAAAAACATAGTCTTGTGATAGTTACAGGGCCCAATGATGTCCACTATAGACTCAACATCTTCTACAAGGGCTTCTTTACACAAAAAATGAAACAAAAATAAACTATTCGTCTTGATCTTCTATTCAGAACTAAATCTATCCTCAAAGCATCTAGAGTTCCTTTCCATCCATATTGTCCACCAAATACAAGCTGGGACAATGCTCTACCATTTCTTCTGCCTCAGTTGGATACTTGGATCATTCCAGCATTATATCATTTCTGCAGCTGGTACTGTCTAGTTTAATTCTTTCATACTCATGAATAAATACAACTTGCTGGTCACTTTACAATGTAAGAAGAGGTGGCTATTTGTTTCAATCTCATTGCCACACAAAAAACATTTAGAGCATAGTTGCATTCCACTCCTTGTCAAACTATCATGGTCAAAACAGCCTCCTTAACCACTAGCCAACAAAAGCATGCCACTTTAAAAGGTATCTTGACCTCCCATATGTGCTTCCAGTTCCAAGGTCCATTGAAAACTATAAGCTGACTTCACAGTATAAATTCCCCTGCTATCTCTTTCCCATACTATTCTGTCCTCTTCCTCTACAACACTTCCATAATGCAGCAACCTCAAGCTGCTATGGTTGAGACATGGAGCTTGCAGGGTTGAAATTTGACTTTCAGAAGGTTCTATGGAAGTGTATTTAATTTTACTGATATTTCAGGAGAATCCAACTTTGGGGTATCTGTTTGAACACAATAAAATGGTGTGACAAGCCAACTAGGACATATATGAAAACCTATAAAAGGACACGGTGGTAGCAAATTGTGGAAACCTCGTCTTTATTAAATGCCTCTCTGCTGAGAATAGCAACTTAGTTTAGAAAATGGCGAGACAGTAAATTTTTTCTATTACACTGCAAATTTGTATGTTAGGTTTGGTGTATGTTTCTTAACTTGTATGGGATTCAACTGGTCATTCCAGCACATGTGAAACAAGTGGTAAGCAGTTGGCAAAGTCAGAGGATGAAGAAAGTGAAGAAGAAGAAGAAGAAGAAGATTTGGAGGAGAATTCCTCTTTGCATATTTTGGAATGTTTGGCTCTAGAGGAATGGAAGATGTTACGAAGGGAAGGAAGAGAATTTTCTGCTTCTGCGGTATAGATGCATTCATAGTTTAAAAAGTTGGTGCAACGCTGAATGTTCGAATGATCCCGATGTAACTTATGCTGGGTTTTATGGAATCCTTACAGCTTTAGAGGATTCTTATCTACCTTTGTCGTACTTTGCTTCAGTACCTTCTTGATACTGAGTTTACTTTTGCAAAATATATAGGTAGCCACCTTAACTATATACCAAATTCCTGTTACACACTTTCTGAGAACGAATATCATATAACATATGCAACCTTTTAAAATTGTGTCTAGTATAAACTACTTATGCCAGATGGCACGCATGTGTTTAACAAAACGGAAAAGGGCCTGATATACCCCTCTACTTTGCTTTATTGTTGAATCATGTCCTCCGTTATACTTTCCGTTTAGATTTACCCATACCGTCCATCAAAATTCTAAATTTGCCCCTATTTTAACGGCTGAGACACGTGGCACATTTTGAACAAAAGACTCATCCCCAATTTTAAAACCCGCCCCTTAATTCAACCCATTACCCGACACCCATTCCCAACTCACACGACACCCATTCCCAACTCACACAGAACTTGGACTCATTTCAATGATAAATATCAAAATGATGAAACTCGAGCAAATACACATTCCAAAATATTGAAAATCAAATCTTGATCATCAAATTTACGTACAGAGAAACATATCTCCGTTCCTCTTCTTTCTTTACGCTTTTTCCTCAAAAGTAACCCACACAACTCAATTTGTTGATTCAAATACTTTAAAATCCACTAATCATCTCAAAACCAAGAAAATATGGAAGTAATGTGTAATCAATTAAAAGAAGAAAAATAGTTACTGC